GCTGGGAAACCTCGCTAGCAAGTTAGGCGACCTTCAGGCGGTCAACCAGCCCCGAGGCGGTGGAAATGCAAACTGTCCCGACCTGTCCGGCCCGCGGGGTCAGACTCGGGGTGGGGCCCAGCGCCGCCGGCGATCCGCGTGCGGGCTGTAGAGAGTCCAGGTGAGTACGTTCGTAAAGCTCCGCACGCGATTCCAACCTACAGTCAAAGTGTGGAACACTACCAGGGTTTGGTACTCGAGGTGCGGTCTCCACCTGGAGCAGCCTCTCCCTCCCAGGCTTGCTCACTTGGAGAACTGGCTTTGCAACAAGATCCCCAAGTGATCCGCAGGCCCAGGAAGGGGTGAGGAAACCGCTCTGAGGCCCTCCCCACATTCCCGAGGATGGGACCCGAGCTGACTTCAAGGACCCAAAGGTAGGTGGTTTCCTCTCCCCTAGGGCTGTCCGATTTTACCTGTGCTGTGCCTCTCAGGCGGGGCGGACACTCCCTCTGGGTTTGGATGGCCAAGACACTGAAACAGCAACCGCTGTCTACACCGGGAAGGCCCACTCTGAGAAGGGCAGACCCGTTCAGGGACCCGCTGTGGGCTTCCGCTCCAGAACTGACCTGCTGTCTCTGCACCCACCAGACTGGTTCTCCATCCTTCTCCGGGGAGTCAGGGTGTCCGTGTGAGCGCAGATGACAGGGTGTGCTCATGGCGGCACTTCGGGGTTGGAATGGTGTCCACCTGCTGCTGGTGTCAGTTCCAGGTGTCGGGGAAGCGCCCCAGGATCCGCTCACAGCAGCCATGCCCTCCTTAGTCACCCCAGGCAACTGATGTGGTTGTCCTGCCCTGTTGGCTTTCAGTGCACCCCACACATTTGCTGTTGAAGTTGTACCCAGAAAGGAGGAGATGTCCACTCTTGAGAAGGAAACAGAGCGCCCCACACTCACACCCCTGCTTTAAACAATTGAACTGAAATGCCATACACTGACTTCCATTTACTTTGTTGTGTTTCTTTTCTGGTACTGGGGACTGAACTCAGGACCTTGCGCTTGTGAGGCAAGCAGCGGCACCACTGAGCTAAAACCCTGGACCTCCATTTATTGATTTATTTTTTCCGCCACGGTGTGTTAAGAGACTCTTCAAGCCAATATAAATATTTGGCCATTTGGGTGTACACCTGCACAGTATCTCACATCTTTCAGCAAGAAAAATACTGAAAAATAAAGGACCTCATACAACAAACTAGATCCAATGAGAATATGCTCCAGGTATGTGCTTCTCTGAGGTAAAGTCACCACACACCTATTCAGTTAAGAAAACTTTCCCTGCAATTCGGAACACCTTTCTTACTTTTAAGCTGGGGCTAGAACACACTGCAGCTTAATAGGTGTTGAGTGGCCTATGGCACGAATTCATAGGAACCAGGTTCCAGCACGCAGGTACCTTCCCACTGTTTCTCACTCCATGTTTTTCTGGGCGGGGTAGTAGACTCATACTTCAGCTGAACACAGGTACTGTACCTTTCTTTTTGGCTTCCTTCATTTCTGATCATTCTCCTTGATGCATTTCAGGAAACTCTGGCAACTTTTAAGAGTGCTTAATATGCTCAATACATTGCTTCTAATGGCAAGTATCTTACCTTGTTTACCACTGGGTAACACTGTAGACTCCCCGGTTCTTCCTCGGTAACACTTGTGTGGCTTTCTTTTTGGAACAGTATCCATTCCTTTGAGTTCTACCATGTGACCCTTTTTGTAGATTGGCACATGTGGCCCAAAGAACAACTCCATGTTTTCTAAAAGACCTAGAGAACATATACTGGGTTCCTCTCTCACTGTGTTTGGCAAATTACTGAAAGAAAGCAGAAGAGTATTTCTTGAAAATGCTGCTTTCCTTCATCTTTGTATGTTGTGCGGCATTCTAACAGCAATTTGATTTTAGGTGACTTTTTTGCCTGGAGGTCCTGGAGATACATTTCCTCTTCATTAAAGTCTTAATGGTTTTTCAAAGGTGTATCTTGAAGTCAGCCAAATTGGATGCAATTTTCCTCACACTTAAAAAAAAATGTTTTTCCCCCTTGGGAACTTCTCCTGGACTACAGATTTACATACTAGCTTTGTCCTGTTACCGTTTTTTTCAGCCACTCCAGTTATTCATGTATCTCAGTATCAATTATTTTTTTTCTCATCATTTCTGCTTATTTTCATTTTCATTGATGGCTTTTCATGTTTTTCTTCAATCCCACTTACTAAATTTTGAGTTGGACCTGTTCTCCAGTGTTGCATGACTCTTACCACAAATCACCAGGCACCTTGAATTTCATTTCTTTCTGTACCACAGAATGAACTCAAGACCTTGTACTTGCAAGGCAGGCGTGGTGCCACTGAGCTAAATCCCAGGACCTGGGCACCTGAATTTCATCCTCATCTTTTTTGTTTTGTTGAGACAGGGTCTTCCTGTGCAGCCCAGGCTGGCCTCAAATGCAGGAATCTGTGTGCACCACCATACCCTGCTTCATCCTCATCTTTAAAATTATTTTGTCTTTATCCCCAAAACTTTTTCCAGAGTTTTCTCCTTCCCTCCTCCTCTTTATTTGGTTTGAGTTTTGTAATTTCTTTGCAATTTTTCTTTCGTATCTGAAGGTTTTGTTACAAGACCTGTCTTTTAGAATATATGGTAAGAGCTTTCTTCACTTAATATTTCTTTATTGTAGAGAGGTTTTCATTCATTGAAATGTGACTTACTTTGCTTTGATAGCTTTGTATGATGTCACTTGCTGTCTTCTGTTTCTTTTGGGTCTTAGAAAATATGAAGCAACTTTAAACCTACAGAAAAGCTTACCAGTATTTCCTTTTCTTCTATAAATAAGCCTGATGTTCTTACTGTTTTAGAATAATGACCACTTGTTTTATGTTTAGGTTTGTATAATACTTCCCATAATAATTCCCACATAATTCAGTTCAGGTTGTGCTCTCCTCTCCTGCTAGACACACAATATAATCTTTGCTCACATAAGGTGGTATTTATCAGATTACTTTGTTATGAAGTTACTGTTTTTCCCTTTGTAATTAATAAATATTTTGTAGAAAGATAATTGTGTACTAGATTCTATCCCTACAAAACTTTCACCTGCTAGTTCTACCATTCATTCATTGTGCCTGAATCAGTTACTACTCCAGTCTGCTTTCTAATTTCCTCATCCTTCCTACCTTTGGTAATTGGCATTTTATTGTAAGGAAAAGATTGCCCTTTCCCCTCACTGATTTATTCATTTGTATTAACAGATACTCAATTGAGTCCATTATATATATGGTACACAATTCCTAATTCTTAACAGATACCGTATTTATAAGGAAAGTATTGAGAAGGAAAGACCATGATTTCCACAGTTTACTTGCAAATATTTCCACAAAACAACAAACAAATCGTACACATGCACACATAAAAGTGTTAAAATGTGGGCGATATGTCAGCTGCTTAATCTATATGAACAGCATATGGGAGATCACTGTACTCCACTGCAACATTTTTGCAGCTCTCAATTTTTCAAAAATATATGGTCAAAATAAGAATAGTTGAACTGAAATACTATCAAAACTCTGTTAGGGACCTGATGCTGCCATCACAGGCTGCATTTTCCTGGTGCTTCTGGGCGCTTAAAGACCTCATGCTCTTATCTTTAGTTTCCCTTCCCCCAAAGCCACAGCGGTCTGGAGAGGTTAAACCTGTTTCTGCAGGACCGAACCTATAAAGGGCAGCCTGGCCTGTGGCCTGGGTTAAAGGTAGCCCACTCATAAATAAGCAATAGCCCAGCACCAAACCAATAAAAGGACCTTCCTCTCTTTGTCCCCCCTGCCCCTTCCTTCTCTCCTCTCTCCCTAACCTGCCTTCCTAAATAAAATCTCCTGTGCGACCTCTGGAGCTCTCGGTGTGTGGCCTAGCTGAGTGTCACTGTGCCTCTACATAGGTTTCAGAAGTGGGATCTGGGATTGCCGGTACCCTGACTTAGGGTCAGAGGCCTGAAACCCAAGACCCCTGACGCTCTGACTGGCCCACCCAAAGTCCACGGCCATCTTCCCTGACACCAGCCCTGCAAACAACACCACTGCAATTGATCCCATCGCCCCCTGACTTTTAGGTAAGTCCCCTTGTGACGGTCTAGAATGTGGGGGGGACTTGGACTCAGGTGGCCAGGAAAGAGACTTACATCCGGAACGTGAGCCAGGTACCAGGCCTCACGTCTCCCATCCATTATGAGCCTCGGGAAGGCTCACGGGGACAAGTCGGGAACTTGCCCGTTCTGCCCCCCACCTCTGTTGGGATGCCTCGAAAAGGTGGCACAGCCCTTCTCCGGACCCCTCCTCATGGTAGAGACATCTCCATTTGGAGTTTGGGTCCCCTCTTTCTAGGTTCGGAATCTAAAAAGACTACTGGTGACTTCCAAATCTCAAGAGATGTCTTGGGACTAGGACTTCACCCCCAGACTCATTCATGGTCACTATGGGCTCCGGTCTTCCACACCTGTGGACTCCCCCTTGGGGTGCTTGCTCTGAAATCTGGAGGGCTTAGACCTAAAACCTGAATGGCTAATATGCCTATCCACTCAAATCTGGCCTCAGTATAAGTTAGGTAACCAAAATGTGTGGCCCCTAATGGCTCACTTAAACCTGGTCTAATTGGAGACCTTATAACTTCTATGAGCATCAAGAAAAATGGTCGGAGAGTCCATGCGTTCAGGGCTTTTCTTATCTCCACAGCCAGCTCTCTCTTTGCTCTGACTCAAAAGCAGCCTCCCCTCCCCAAACTTTAGTGACTCAGGATATCTCTGCTTCCACTACTCTTTGTTTCAACTCCTCAGACCAGATCCATCTGGCAGACAGTCCTCCTCACCTCAGAAACCAGGCCCACCCCTCAACCTCCTCCTCTGGACTCCTCTCCTCTCCCTACCCCTCATCTCTACCTCACCTCCCTCTGCTCCACCCTCCACGCGACTCCTCCTCTCACCTGCTCCAAATCTCATACAATCAGCTGCTAATGAAAACTATTTAGTTTTGGTCTTAAAACAACTGCTTGCCAAATCTGCTGTTTTTCACTTGGTAACCGAATGAAAACTATTTAGTTTTGGTCTTAAAACAACTGCTTGCCAAATCTGCTGTTTTTCACTTGGTAAACTTGCCTCTCTCAGAAAATGTGCTTACCCTTTAAAAGAGGTCCAATTGCCTCCCCCTTTGGTGTGCTTAAAACACTTCTTGCATATCACAAATTCTTAAATTGCAACTATAGGGTTAACTTGCTCTTTTCTAAAAATTCAAGGTTAATACTGTTCTATGGGCAGCCAGTCAAATTTTAAGATGTTAACAATCTGAAAAAAAAAAAATGACACTTTAAGCTGAGGTTTGTTATAAAAGATTAACAGTAAATGAGACAGAAAAATATTGGAAAAGCTATAAATAAGAGTTATACTTTTGACGTGAAAGGTTTTTATGTTTGTCTTGTTAAAAACAGGTAAAGAAAGATAAACAAGACCAGAAGGCCTAAGTATATAAAAAAGATATATGGAAATGATATAACTAAAAAATATGCATGCTTGCTTGTTGGTTTCAAGTTTGTTATAAAAGGTTTACAAGTAATTCATAATTCTACAACCCAGTTTTATAAGTTAAAATCTTTTCAAGACAATTTAATATAAACTCTTAGGTCTAGATAGACTCCTGTTAATGGTAAAAGGGACAGCTGCTCAAAGAAGAAATCAATTAACTTACCATAATCTCTCTGTTATCCTTACCAATGCTCTAACCCCTAAAAAAGGCAAAGGAGTGCTGGACCAGGCCCACGCCCATGCTGATCAAAAACATTTGACAAATAACCACCACCCAGTAGGTGCTGCTGCGGTACTGGAGCACAACCCAGATTGGGATTACAACTCCGAGACGGGTATTGAGGCCCAGGACAGGTACATGAATTGTTTGCTTCATGGGCTATGCAAAGCCACCATGAAATCTATAAATTACGATAAGCTTAATGAAATCATACAGGACAAAAATAAAAACACTTCTGCCTTCCTACAAAGGCTGACTGATAGCCTTTGTCAATATACCAATCTTGATCCTGAGTCTGTTGAGGGCCAGCGGCTGGTCATGATGGTCTCTCAAAGCTACCCTGACATTAGGCTTAAATTAAAAAAGCTTAAAAAGGGACCACTAACTCCTCCTTTCAAGGCTCTGACCATGGCATTCAAGGCCTATCACAGCTGTGATGATCTTAAAACCACAAGTACCAATTAGTAGCACAGGCCATCAATCCTACCAGGCCACAACGGCTTCATAACAGGGGACCCTTTAATAAGGGACCCTCTCACCCACCGGACCCTGCTTCCAATGTGATCAAGAGGGCCGCTGGGCCAGTGTGTGCCCAAACCTCAAGCCTCCCACAAAACCGTGCCCTAAGTACAAACAGAGGGGACATTGGGGTTTTAACTGCCCCCTGACATCCACCTGTTGTCGGGTGCCAACCCCACCGTTCCCCCAAATGACCTCATCGGTCTCACAACGGCAGAGGATCTATGAAGAGGCCCCGGCCTATCTGGCCCAACACAGATCACCGCCCAGGAGCCCAGGGTGACTGTCACTGTGGCAGGTAGGACGATCGCCTTTTTACTCAACATTGATGCCAGTTTTTCTTCACTGCGAGAATACTGGGTGTCCACCTCCCTGTCTGACCTCTATTGTTGGGGTAGAAGGTCAAAAACAACACCCTCGATAGACTCCTCTACTGTCACGCGCCATGGCGATTTTTCATTTCTCCACTCCTTCCTAGTCCTCTCTTCATGTTCCGTTCCTTATTGGGTCGCCACATCCTCTCCAAAATTGGCTCTTTCATCCATTTCACCATACGGGAGCCCTCCAGCACTCTGATGTTTTCCCTTTGCCTCTTGTTGTCCCAGGCTGTTGAACCCCAGACTCCATCATCCAGATGGCCTATTGACCCTGCCCTAGTAAATCCCCGGGTGTGGGACGTTCAGTCCCCCCTCAGTGACCAAACGCCCTCCAGTGAAGATTTTCCTTAAAAACCCTACATACTTTCCAACTCAGGCTCAATACCCGCTTCCTCATTCTAGCTTAGACAGACTGGCTCCAATCATCAAAAGTTTATTTTAAAAGGGATTTTTGAGGCCTGCTAATTCCCCACACAATGCACCCATCTTAGTGGTCAGAAAGCCTAATGGGACATATCGGCTAGTTCAGGATCTCCGGATCATTAATGCGGCTGTGGTTCCAATACACCCTAGTGTCCAATCCATATACGCTCCTGTCTTCTATCCCGTCCAATAGCACCCATTTTTCAGTCCTAGATTTAAAAGATGCCTTCTTCTCCATTCCTTTACATGCAGATTCCCAAGACCTTCGTGCCTTTATTGGACTAGCCCTTCGATTGGTGTCGCCACACAATTAACCTAGACTGTCCCAAGGGTTTCGAGACAGCCCCCATCTGTTTGGCGAAATCCTAGCTCACGCTCTCTCTCTTCTCCAGCTTCAAGGTTCCCGATGTATCCAACATACAGATGATCTTCTTCTCTGCGGCCCTTTGTTAACTATACTTCAGCAAGATACTTATATGCTTCTAAATTTCATTTCAAAAAAGGGATACCGAGTCTCACCAAAAAAAGTTCAGCTCTTTAAACAATAGGTCATGTACTTAATATCTCTATCGCCTGACTTCAAATCTATTACTGTTGATAAAAAACGGGTCCTTTGAGACATTCCAATGCCCTTCACTAAACAAAAACTTCTCTCCTTCCTGGGCTTGGCAGGGTACTTCAGGTCTTAGATCCCAAATTTTTCCCTTCTAGCAGCCCCCCTCTATGAGGCCTCTTAAAAAACCCCCCATAAACAGGTAAATTCCTCAATAGCCACTCCCTTTGTCCATCTCAAATCCTGCCTGTTAGAGGCTCCTGCCTTACACCTACCTGGTCTTTCTCGTTCCTTTCACCTCTATGGGTCAGAAAACAAGGCATTTGCATTAGGGGTTCTGGGCCATCAAATGGGACCCACTTTTGCTCCAGTGGCTTACTTATCCAAAAGGATGGATCCCACTGTCAGAGGTTAGGCCCCCTGCCTACGAGGCCTAGCTGCCATATCTCTCCTAGTTCAGAAATCAAAAAGCTCACATTCAGGTCTCCAACTATAGTCCTCTCATCATTCCATTTCAACTTAAGTCCCTTCCGGGATGGTTCCATCGCTCTCATGTTAAACCAGATCTTCATGCTCCTCTCCCAGCCATATCCACAGGACCTCATCTACGCTATTGAGCCACCTCCACGGGACCTCTGAAGGTCAAACTTACTCGGATTCCAGAAGACCTGGTTGCCCAGGATCCTTCACCATCATCCAGTCCTGAGTCAGGTAAGCCAACCTAACTGTTTACCCTCTCATCCTCTCATGGGGTGATACATTCCACACTACAGCACCCACTGATATCCTAAGTCTTCTTATATTAGCTCTCCTGGGACTTGTCCTTGGGACAGGATTGGCTGCAGTAGCTCCTCCCAACTAAAATTTTACTTCCAGGTGTGTACTCTCATTGACCTATTACCTCATAATCTCACTCTCTGCCATTCTTAATTGCTAGAGACAATAATGGTTCCTTTCCTGCTCCTGTTTTCTCTCCTAAATCTCACCCAAGCCAATAGGTCCTCGTGTGCACCTTGACTTGCTCCTGGCCTAACTCAGCCCTCCTTCAGACCCAGGTCAGTCGTCTCTCCACTCAAGTCTCCAACAGATGGCTCATCACCAGCTGATACTTCAGGCCGGAGACCTAAGCCAGACCACCTTGTTTACATGGCAGCCAACCGACTAACCATAGCTCAGATCTCGGCTCGGTTCGAACATTTTCTAAATGATCTTCAGATTGATATTCTCTGGTTTGCTCCCCACCTTTGTCCTGTTACCCACATAGCCAACTGGGTCACTAATGCATGGCTCCGAGGAACTTTATCAGATTTCATCCCAAACTAAAATCACAATCTCTACCTTTTTACTTGTTCTATTAATCCTCCAGCCCAGTCCACAGCCTCATACAGATTATCTTCTACCCTTCTCTCCTCCCTCACTAACTGATTGTGTGCTTGGACTCTTCTCAGGGAGCCCTACCAACAATTCCAGTAAAAAGGCTAATATGGCTGTCAACAATTCCATGTTCATAAAGGACAACAACGCTGGCTGTGCCCCACGCCTGCCCCTAGACAGCTTCGTCTCCCGTGTCTGTAACTCTCCCGTAGTTACAGAAGACAGGCACACCGCCCCTTTTCCCTGGCGTATAACATGTGCTGGCTGCTGTCTCCATCTAAACCAAGGAGGGGTGAATGACGCTGCCATCACAGGCTGCTGCATTTTCCTGGTGCTTCTTGGCTCTTAAAGACCTCATGCTCTTTAGTTTCCCTTCCTTCCAAGGCCACAGAGGTCTGGCGAGGTTAAACCTGTTTCTGCAAGACCGAACCAGTAAAGGGCAACCTGGCCTGTGATGGGTTAAAAGTAGCCCACTCATAAATAAGCAATAGCCCATCACAAAACCAATAAAAGGACCTTCCTCTCTTTGTGTCCGGCCCCCCTTCCCTCTCCTCTCTCCCTAACCTGCCTTCCCTAATAAAATCTCCTGTCAAACCTCTTGGTGTGTGGCCTAGTTGTTGAGCATCACTGTGCCTCTACAAACTCTTGCAAATATTTTTTTAAAAATCAGCCTACTGATTTATCAGCACTGAGTATATTCAAATTTTATTACCATTGTCTATAGAAATTTAACACTCGCATCTGTGCAATATGACCTCTGGGGATGGGGGAGTATACCCCGCATGAGGATTACACACTAAGTGCAGGGTCACATTCGACCAGACTGCTGCTTCTGGTAAACTAGCTTGACAAACCATCCATCCCCAGGTGACTGATTCCAGTTACAGAAGACAAGTGAGCCTATCACTTAGTGAACGTTACAAAGAATATTAAAAGGTTACACAGACTTACAAAAGTTCAGAATTTTCCCTAGGGCTATATATAAACACACACATACATATACTTAGACAGGTTCACGATATAAAAACCTGTACCTTACAGAACTCTGATGTTTCAGCAAAGCATACAGTATAGATACATTCACCATACAGTGCAATTTTACATGTAAGACGTGAATAATAGTGCACTTAAACCCAAGAGTCACATTCAAATATATCAAGAGTACAACCCAAACAGCTGACTATCGACGAAATATATATTCTGTTTTCTAGAAACTAAGTTATGCAAGTACAATATTTTTAGTGTAGATGGTAACAGATCTATATGGATTCTAAACAGTGGGATCCAGGGTGCCTTTGTGTAGAATAATTCACCTCTCCAAAGACAGGTGCATTTTAAAAGTGAACCATGACTGGCCTGACACACAGGGACAGTGTCGCACGACTCTTACCACAAATCACCAACACCACCCACCTTAGACTTGCGGCCAGGTGCCCCACAGGCTCAAACAGCCAGTAACTGTCTTTGGGAGGGACAGTGGAGTGTCCCAGGGAGCTGCTGCACTTTTCATTACACCAAACACAAACTACTGCTCTGCCTGCTCTTCAACACACCACACGTTAGGGTCCTAGACTTTAGATAATAAGTTCAGGACTTCTGAGACCTAACCCTGGACTTCAGATGGTCTCTTCTGGGACTACTGGCTTAAAGAAAGAAGATGCTGTTGTTGACAGTGGGTCATAAAGATTCTCTAAAGGTAAAAGTTTTATACACAAAAAGAAACATTAGCAAACTAATACTGAAAAGAAATTTAGCATTTCATATCATCTAACAATAAATTAAAAACATGGAGAAGTCCGTCTTTTAATGTTTTCTCTCTAGATGGTAAAAAACGGAAAATACCATTTGGCAATAACTTAAAATAAGCACTGGGGGGGACTTTTTTATGTTAAAGAAAAAGAAGGATGAGGGCAGGTAGTCTTGAGGTACAGCGCAAGCCTGCACCAGATGCACCAGGCCCCTTTGTTCCTGGGGAAGGTCAGAGCTCCCATTCTCTGTCCAGGAAACATTTTCCTCATGAAGAATGCTCATAATATCCTCATGGAGTTTTCATTTCTTAAATCTGGAAGTAGGTAAACATTAAAACCTCTGCCTTGGATTCCAGTCTGACAGTAAAAGAGCCCGATGACCCCACTCAACAGGGGCAATCAGAACAGCCATCGCTGAAACCAGAAAACCGCTGCAGTTATTTAAGCAGATTTTCAAAACGCAACAAAATGTTACTCCTATTTTTCATTTCAAGACACTAAATTACTGGTCAAATTTTCCCCACAGTATTGATTGATTTTTAAAATTTAATATAAACCAATTACCGACTGAATGCAGGACTAAAATCCCACTAAATTTCATCTTTTAAAATGAAATGAAACAAAATGAGATCCCACTTCTAAGTCAGGCCTCAAAGTTCAAATGCTTACAAATCCTTTATAAAGAAGTTTTAAAATCCTTTAGATGGGATTTTCAAGAATGTCTATCATGGTCCTCGCAAGGTTGATTAAATATTTTATAATATTGCTTTGACAGCCTCATTTTTCTTAGAAATAAAGTATATTTCATTTTAAACTATTGGATTTTATTTCTGTTTTTCTTCCCACTTAATAATTCTGACCAAACAGATACTTACTGAAAAGTCTCGAATCAAAAATGCTTCCAGTTTTATAATCAAATAGCTGTGTTCTTTTGGTTTTAAAAAATATATATCAATTTAAATCAAGGATCCTTGAATTTTGATAAGGGAGGATAGCAATCCTGTCTCTGTATTTTAAGAAAGGCCTTTGTGGGCTTAAGACCAACCCAAGCGCATACCAGGTCCACTGCACCAACAGAGAAGATGGCAGACACCTGGATTTGAGTGGCTCGCACCTGATTATTCCTCCCAGTCTATAGAGAATTTGCATTCTCCCTGATTCTGCGCCATTCTCTTCCTTAAAGTTCTTAAAGTTACAGTCATCAAAGGCAACTCTAAACCTTATGCTTAACAAGAATCTTCTCTTGAGTTTATCCATTTTATTGATTCTTCTCACTGAAGGGGAGCGTAATTTAATCGTATTATTAAACACCTTCAAATTATATTGATAATGCACTTTACAGTTCTCTTGAGTTTGGGGAAACTCTAGTATTTGCATCACGAAATGACCTAGTTGAAAGTGCACTGATACCAGAGTTGGTCTTTACAACCTGCAAACCAGCTTGAGGCTTAGACGACCCTTGCTTATAAGTTAATACTAAAATGCAAAGTTGTCAAAGAAGCAATGAATGTTGTCTCTATACAGGAAAGAAAAAGGAACTGGAACGCTATGCCATCACTGTCTCTGGCTCATGTGTCACTGTTCATCGGTGACAGGTGACACTCAAACATAGGAGCTCTCCGAGACTGAGCCTGATAAAGGCTCCTCTCACTGTGGCCGCCTAGAAGCCCCAATCCACAGGAGCAGTGGGAATCACTCCAAAGTATCACTATGGAGAAGAACCTCTAGGTGATTTTCCTTATGGGCCCACTAACTGAGAAAAAGAGTCCTTCTTCATGTGTGGCCTGGAGATAAAGGCAGGAGTAAAGAAAAGGGTCAGCTGCCAAACAAACAGGAGGCAATGGCAGCTCTTCACCCAACACAGACACAGGCAGAGCAAGGCAGAGCACCTCTTCTGCTCCTCCCCTCAGTCTTCTGCTAGGGTGTTAATGTCCCAGGATTTGTAACCATACCCAAGAAAGCCAGGAACAAAAATGAGTTTGGAGAAGAAGGCAGGCAAAGTTACCCTAAGAATCTGGCCTGCTGACGGCTGCCTACCCTCTGCCACAAGTCTCGGGAGCAAAGCACTGGCCACGAGCCAGGTTTCTGGACGTGGCTGTAGATTTTGTTAGGGTCAATTTTTTAAAGTTATATTTTGCTGGGGATTTAGCTCAGTGGCTCCGTTGCCTGCTTCTCAAGTGCAAGGTCCCAAGTTTGAACCCTGGTACCAAAAAAAATAAAACCCAAAACACCAAAAACAAAAAAAAATTTTTTTTAAATTTTTACCTCAAGAAGGAGCACTGAACCTGTACTAAATGCTGCAGGAATACATAGACCAGCAGATCACACACACGGCTGCTGTTGCTTGGTACTGAGATGCTTCCAGGACTCTGCAGTTTTAAACAGAGCTGCAAGGTATTCATAATCTTCCCCTGCTAAATCATATTTTCCTAACAGTAACGGACAAATCAGCCACTGAGACAAATTTGCAAGTTGCTCAAGCCAACATGAAAGTCTTAACCTTAGTATCAGTAAACTCTTAGAACACTTAAAAATCAAGTAAAATACACACACACATACTTACAAACCAATTCAGGAAGAACTCAGGAGGGTAGTGCAGCTCTGGTTTAAGGGAACCATATTTGTAGCTTAATTGTAACAACCCTATTTTAAGTGACAGTTTCATTTTACACTTGACACATAGTTTATATGTATGGCCCCAAACTGAAAAACCAATTCAACAGTAACAGTTCTCTACCAGTAACAAATCCCCCGATTCTATATTGCACATACTTTTAGTGTTTTCTCCAAATAGAAATGTTAACTCTTGTATCAGAGAGCCATACCAGTTGCCCTTGTAGAAGGAATTTACCTTAAGTGTTCCAGTTCCCCCTTCTTCATAAACAAGAATGAGAATGAATTCAGCTTTGTTCATCATCCCAAAACCGTTTTAAAGAGATGGTTATATCTTAAAAAAGATAATGGAAATGCATGTTAAACACAAAGGTCTGGGTTTATCCACCATCTTAGCTTTGAAAGACATTTCTACACTGAGTGCACACAAGCCTGACCTTTCTTAACCAACCATTGCCTAAAGAGAGTCTTGTGTCCTGTATTGGGCTGGAGCACGGCGTGGAGAGCGGCCGCGGAGGAAGCTCGGTGAAATGGCCTGTGACAAGGAGCATTCACTAGGTCACAGATCGCACGTAAAAGTAAATGATGACTAGCACCTCCGTCCTGCTCTTAAAGCAAAGGGCCCAGCGGGCCACATGAAACAGATGCGGCTGCAGTGAGTTCTGTCCCACGGTATGGAGAAAGCCCTGCCTGACATCAGAGGGCCCCAAGGGAAGCCGGAAGTTCCGGGCTTCCACAAGGCTGGGCGCTGCGCTCAGGGGCTTTGCCGCGGCCTGTCCTCTGTCTCCAGCTCAGCCAGCTGCCTCCGCAGGACGTTGACCTTGGCTTGCAACTCCTTGTTATACTCGATGATGTTCACCATCTCCTCATATGCTTCATCCTGATACTTCGAGGATCTGTTCCACCGCAGGAAAATTCCTACGAATCCAGAGGGAGACAGATACATTCCACGGATCACCTTGTTAGTACGGGATACAGAATTCCATGTATCATGCTGTGCACTTTTCCCTTTCCTCCCCCCACAACTCACCCTGAGTGCTGAAAGGATCCAATTAAATACAGTACCAATATTTTTATATAGTACATGTTCATTAATTCCTCATAAAATTCCACAAAATTATCAAATAAATCAAAATACTGTTCTGTCATACAGTGTGAAAAAGAAGCTGCCATTTACAATGCCGTAAACTTTCCAGCTCCACGAGAGAGAGTACTTGTTTTTTGTTTGTTTGTTTGTTTTTTTGAGACAGGGTCTCACTGTGTAGATGAGACTGACCTGGAACTCACTATGTAGCCCAGGCTGGTCTCGAACTCACAGCGATCCTCCTGCCTCAGCTTCCCAAGTGCTGGGATTACAGGCGTGCGCCACCATGCTCGGCTTGTATATGTTTAATACAGATATGAGTTTAAAACATATTTTAGATCCACGTTGGTTGAATCCATGCATGTGGAACCCACAGATATGGAGGCTGACTGCTTAAAGGTTAACTGACTTGGTTTTTCTATTACATGATTATTCTATTTTTCAATACAGAAATTGCTATTAATGCTTAATTATGGTGTAAATATGAATAGCAGAAAGTCTTAAAAGGCCAGATTGCAGCCGGGCATTGTGATGCACACCTGTAATCTCAGCACTCAGGAAGCTGAGGCAGGAGGATCATCATGAGTTCTAGGCCAGCCTGGACTACATAGCGAGATCCTTTCTCAACAAAACAAACAAAAAGGCCAAAGAGTACATACATGAAATGTATGTATGTATCTACTCTAAGATTTCCTTACATAGAATTCCTCCCAGCCTCAAGTTTCAGAGGCACTGACTAAAGAATTACAGAATCTGTTAACGGCACGGTAGGAATTCATCCACATAATAAAGTTTCCTTTCTGTCATTTGATGTAAAAGTCCCAGTGAGTCTGGTAAAACTAGTTAGTTGGCCATGCAGCTCCCAGATTTGGCTTCCCCAGGCAGCCAGCCTCTGTGATGGAACAGAGTGTGCCGGGCGTCTTCACACAGCGTAAGAGACCACTCACTCTGTACCCGTGACCGTGTACGACAATCAGGAAGGGAAGCAAGGCTCAGTTCTGCTTCAAGCAGCGACATGGGCTTCACAAAATCAATGCAGGGGCTGCGGAGCTGCTTCCCTCCCTCTTCTGACAGCTGGGCGGTGGACGGACCCGAGCCACGGCCAGGGAAGCCGGCAATGCAGATTCTCAGGCCGAGAGGGACAAGGCGTCCGCTGGCATCCAGAGAAGTGGCAGAAACAGGCCCAGAAAGCAAGGCAGCCAGAGAGCCTTTCCACACAATGGCAGAAGAGTGCTCTCCTGTGAGCCTCCCCGCCGCAGGGGGATACGGGGCAACAGTCGCTCCATGGGCAGACGACACCACCACACAGTCACCTGCACTTCACCTGACTTGATACACATACAAGTAAAGCTCTGCTCGCTGACCTCAAAATGATTACACAGAAATTACATAATTCTGTATAGTCTTTGTTTAAAGAACAGCTAATATATTTTAAGTTTGGTAACTTTTTTTTTTGAGACAAGTTCTCTCTACGTAGACCAGGCTGGCCTCAAACCTGCAGTGATCCTCCTGCCTCAGCCTGCCTAGTGCTGCGATCATAGGTCTAAACCACTGTGCCTGGCAGGTAACTTTTTAAAACAGGCTTTGCTACTTAGGATAAGCTTCAGTAGTGTGAGAAATTAGGATAATTTAAAACTCTACATTGGCTACTGTTCCGTACGAACGATGAGATAGCTGACAATTCTGCACCAATGATATTCTGTGTCTGTTCCTAGACTCACTGGAATGGCAGGGCATGTAAGCATGTGATAGCATTTAACATGGGGACCTACTCCAGCGACGGCTTTGTAAGGAAAACACAAACCCTCTCTGAGGAGCTTGCAATTTATGTTTCAACTACCCATCAACTCTCTTATGCGAAAAGTAACATGCTAGCTGGGCATGGCGGCATATGCCTGTAATCCCAGCGCTTAAGGAGGCTGAAGCAGGAGAATCCCAAATTTAGGTCCAGAGTGGGCAACTTAACAACTGTGGGAAACCCTGTCTCCTGTTTCAATATAAAAAAAGAAAGGGCTGGGAAAGGAGCGGTAGAACAAGCCCACACTGAGGGCAGGGCGAACCCTGCCTGCAGAGCAGAGTTCGGGGCTCAGTGGGGCGGTACCTTCCCACAGCTGCAGGCTCTGCGGGGCCACCGAAGGCCAGATGACCAGGTTGTTGGCCTCGAACAGCGGGTTGGTGAACTGACTCAGCTCGCTGGGCCGGTTGACCCAGGACCACAATGACATCGTCTTCTGCTGCAGCTTCAGCTTGCACCTGCTCAAGAAAGAAAACTGCCGTTCATGTGGTGGATACGACACCTGCACATCGGCCTCTCGATTAAGCTCCCTGGACTGGTGCACTTCTTTTCTGGGGGACCAAATACAAAGCACAAGAGTTTTAGCAGAGAAACCAAGTGCTGTAAAATATTTGTCAGTCATCCTTAAAACTCTCACCAACTACAAACACAGAGGCTGCCTTACAGGTGATGATAGATCTTAATCTAGAGCAGGGCTGGCAAATCTATGGTACGTGTGCCACAGCGGGCCGTTTTTCGTTTTGTTTTTCCCATACTGGGGATCGAACTCAGGACCTTAGGCTTGAGAGGCAGGCATAGACATCGAGCTAAATCCTTGGCCCCTACAGGGGGCTGTTTGTATCACTTAGCACTCTAAAAGGTTCCACATCATGAATAGAGAGAATATCCAAAAGGCTTTTGTTGGATATTGTGTTTTAATTTAAAATAGCTCATTATAAAAAGCTTTCTAACTTTTGTTTCTGAGATGACTAGTGGAGAGTCACACAAATTATATGCATCTTCTTAAAGATGGAAGTTGAAGAAATCTCAAAACATTTTTGAGACTTTCTTAGCTTTTAGGAAAAATAAATGCCATATGAAACATAAACTGTCAAAGGTTAAAAATACATCTTAGTGTGAAGATGAATTTAATCTACATCCCTGAATAATGAACTACGTTCATAGTAATCCTGATAATAAACTGTAAAAGTCTTTGTCACAGAATAAGCTATTGGGAAGGAAAGTGGACTGTGGACTGTCATATTTTAGAAAAAGTAAATTTTAACAAAGATCGAAAGGTTGCCTGTGGTGAATCTTATATTAAATAAAAACGTACCACATTAAATTTTCACAGGATTCTGTTTAAACAGAAGTCTTCCTGGAGTCAGTTTTTTTCCCCAGAAATAATTTATGTATAGGCTGCACCCAGGCCCATCCCCTCCTCGCTCCTTCCTCATCATGAGCTGACAGACTGGTCTGTTCCAGCACAGCCTCCTGTGTCACCCCCACCCTGACACAGGACACCGTGAGCCAGTCAGGGACGGCCCAGAAACCTCAAGGCAAAAGAACCCTTTTCTCTTCATAAGTTAATTACTGGAAACCTTGGCCATCGCTTCTGTTCACAAACAATTTGGTTCACAAACAAAAGAGTTCAGCGAAACTTTGCTTCCCTTCACAAGCTGCACATGGGTGACAAACATGACAAGGCCATCTTCCCCACACAAACAAATGCAGCCATCTTCTCCAAAGCTGTAAACCAAATTAAATTGTAAGCCAAGGTCACTGTAATGGTTACAGTGCGGGAAGCCAACTGACAGGTGGACAGGTTCACGGTTCCCTCACACTCAGAGGAAGCAGTGTGCCAGCAAGGGTACGTCTGAAAGCATTCCTCAAAAATCAGGAATAAGAAAAGGCCACTTCTGTTCAACACAGTACTTGAAGTGTCAGCCACAGCCATTAGGCAAGAGAAAGAAAGGGCAGAGAAACAAGTAAAGATGGAAGAAGTCAAATTACTCCTGTTTGCAGATGCTATAATCCTTTCTACAAGACTCTTAAAAACACCAGAAAAATTTTAGATCTGCTGAACAGATTCAGCAAAGTGGAAGGATATAAGATCAACATAGAAAGGTCGATAGCCTTTCTACACAGCAATAATGAACCTGCTCAGAAAGAAATCAAGAAGACAATTCCATTCACAGGAGCAAAAACAAAACAAAACAAATTTTAGGAATAAACCTAATCAAGGAAGTTAAAGACCTCTGCAATGAAAATTAGAGAACACTGAAAAAAAAAAAAATGAAGACACTACAAGATGGAAAGCCCTCCATGCTCATGGATAGGCAGAATTAATATTGCTAAAATGGGCGTATTACCAAAGGAAATCCACAGAGTCAGTGCAATCCTCATGAAGACACCAGTGCCATATTTCACAGAACTAGAAAAAACAACACTAAAATGTATATGGAAGCACAAAAGACCTAGAATAGCCAAAGCAGTCCTAAGCAAAAAGAACGGGGCTGGAGGGATCAAAATCTCCAATTTCAAAATACACTACAAAGCCACGGGAACTCATGGTATGAGCACAAAAACAGAAACAAGGAATAGACCAAGGGAACAGAAGACCCATAAACCCACACAACTACAGCCATCCGACCGCTGGCAAGGGGGGCCAAAGTGAATCTTGGAGAAAGCTCTTTTCAAATGGTGCAGAGAGGACTGGATTTCCTTATGTGGAAATGGAAACTAGAACATTCTCTCAACCAATTCAAAATTCAAAATTCTCAAAACCAATTCAAAATTGACCAAAGACCGGAAACTTTGAAAATCCTACAAGAAAACAGGGAACAATTAAAATCGTAGGTACAGGCAAAGACTTCCTCCACCAGTACAGGAGAAAAGAGCAAGAATCCACAAATGGGACTACTTGAAATTAAAAGGCTTCTGCACAGCAAATGGGAAAATCAACAGAATAAAAAGACAGCTTATAGAATAGGGGATCAGGCTAAAGAGTACAAGCAAATACTGCACAGATTCTATATATTATATAGATTAATTTGGTGCATATCTATAAAACATGTGTTTTTGTTTTTTGCTTCTTTGCAGTGCTGGGGATGGAACCCAGGGCCTCACACAGCATGTGCTTACGTCCAGTCCCTGATTTTGACCTAAAAGAATAAAGTCAAGGGTACCCTCTCCTCCAGAATGAGATTGGCTTATAATAAGGCTATAGTTCATGTAATTTAATTCATGCCTCACTGTAGTGTCTACCTTCATATAAGTAACATTAGCACAGACTCACATCTAAAGCCACTGAAGTTAATCATAAAATGTCCCTATGTGAGCAGTGTACCCACCTTTCACCTTCATTGTTGCCCAGAAAAGTTCCAAACTGGGAGGCACAAGCGTGCTCAAAGAGCACGATGAGGAAACGCTCATTAAACTCAAAGGAGCACGGGAACTGACGGAGTATCTGCCACACACAGTCCAAGAAGAGAAGAAACACAGGCGCCTCCCACTTCTGCTTGCTGCTGCAGTAGGCTGACTGCGCACAGCGCTGCTGGAACGGGTGACCGGCCTAGGGGAGAAGAGGGAGACGTGACTGTCGCACCCCAGGAGGCTACCGCGCAGCGCACGCCACAGACTCCACGTCACAGCGTTACGATGACACCGTGCTAACTGGAGCATCACAGCACAGGGCAGCTCCTGCTCAGATGAATTACTTCTTGGTTTACAATGAGTACTTTCGGCCGGGTGTGGTGGTACACGCCTGTAATTCCAGCACTCGGGAGGCTGAGGCAGGAGGATGCTGTGACTGTGAGTTCGAGACCAGCCGGAACTACATAGTGAGTTCCAGGTCAGTCTCACTACATAGTGAGACCCTGCCCCACAAAACAAACAAACAAACAAACAAACAAAAAAACAATGAGTACTTTCAGCAACTAAGGAAAAAGACCAGTTCCGGATCCTTGCCCGGGCTGTGCAGTCAAGACTGCCTCTGGTCCAGGAGTGAAAGAGTAGAGAACGTAACAAATGATAAAGGTGTAAAAACAAACCTTCGAGATCTGTAAAATTTGGAGTAGGGTCAAAGAACATAAGCTCTTGGGTATAAAACAAAGAACAACCATCACCTGTACTCATCAGGAGCCATCTGCACTGCGAGCTACAAGCTACGTCACCCTCATCACGAACACAGACAATCACGGTGCTTGGCAGGCCAACTGCATGAGCCAGTTTGGGGATCAAAGGAAGAGATCTTAAAGAATACTGGACTTTTGTATTAGAGATAAAGTTGTCCTTAATTATCGTCTTCTTGCCCTTCAAAGCCGCAAGAGACTACACCTTCCACTTCAAGTAAATTTACGCGCCCAGAACCCAAATACGGAGCCTGCCACGAGTCACTCTCAGCCCACAGGCCTGCTTTGTCCCTGAGGCCTTATTCTACTTACTTGGACAGATAGAGCCCTGACAAGTCTCTAGTGGCTAATGGATGCAGATCTGGACAAGTATGAAATGGGATATATAATTAGGTCAAGCACACTCTACTATTTTTCTACTATGGATCATGAGAAATGCAGCTGAGTGGACGTGCACCAGACACGGAAGGCAGATGGGGTAGATCTGACAGCACTAACACAAGCAACTCTGCATCAGACTGGAGGGGCCAGAAGTGGACATATCTATCTCCCAACGTATATCTGCACATTTGCTTTTAATCACAATCATTTACTGAGTTACAAAGTGAAAATACACTCCTAAGTTAATCTGTGACTTGGAGTACTTCAATCTATGTTTATTTTAGTAGTCATGCAGCAGTATATGACAGAACCATGCTGTCCTAGGGATGAAGAGCTGACAGGGCACCTGACACTGCTCTTGTGTGTGTGCGGGGGTGTGGGTACCAGTCCAGGAAACAGGATGTGAAGGGAAGGGATCAATGTCATCCGTGAAGGAAACTAAGGTCTCAAAGACTTTAGGACAGCGGTGATATTTAGCCGGATCTTAAGGGATGACAAGGACTTTACCTGCTTAGGGACAGAAGAGGATGCACATGAGGAGTGAAGGGCAGCACGTGCTTAGGTACATGTGGTTACAGCCCCTGCCCACCCTGCCCTTTCCCGACTAGCTAACCCCATCAACACTAAGCTCCTTGGAGACAGACTATGTTTTACATTCTTCATATTTCTTCCATATGTAACAAGGGATGGGTAACCCTCGCCTAAAATGCTTGGGACCAGAAGTGCTATGCAGTTCAGATTGTTTTGGTATCTTGGAATATGTTCATATACATAATGAGGTATCTTGGGGATGAGACCCAAGCCTCGACACAAATTAAAAGGCAGCCCAGCAATGGAAGGAATCAGCAGAATAAAAAGATAGCTTACAGAATGGGAGATCAGGCTAGCGAGTGTGAACAAATAAATACTTTAAAGCATTTGCAATTCCTTAAGTTTCTTCTATGCTTTATACATAGAACCCGAAGGTGACGTTGCACAATGTCTGCCGTGCACTGGCATGTGACTGTAACATGGCACGTGAGGTCAAGCACTGGCTCTCAGAGAACTTCAGATTTCAGAGCATTCTGCATTTTCAGAGCAGGGATGCTCAGCCTGAACAGCTAACAGAAGGCTTGCAAGTGGACGAGGTGCTAAATATAAGCAAAGAGAAATCTAGAAATTGAGAGGCAGTGAAGTTTACAAACATGTAACAATGGAAAGAGAATTTACTGGCCCACTGAAAATTAAACATAGAATTTAAAATTTCATGCATGATGGCAGCTGCTGCAAGCAGGACAGCAGCACCAGTGACCGCAGCTCCTCTCCCATCAGTAGCTCCCCTCACCTGGAGCCACTCTCTCTCCACCAGGGCCTCAAAGCCCCGGATGGTTCTGCTCCTTGGGTCCAAGATGATCTGGGCCAGGGAGGTCACCTGCAGAGTGGAGTCTGTTCCTTCCGTCCCATGGATCAGTATGGATGCACCTTCCCTGGTAGGAAAATCCAGGGCACAAGTGGGACACCGTCAATGACCTCTGTTCAAGAAAGCATTTATCGAGTGTGGTGTTTCAGGCCCCTGCATCTCTCCTGTCCTTCAGGGGCTGGAGTCTAAGCAAGGCTCTGGGTGGATGAGAGGTTTTCTTGGGAAAAGATAACACTAGTGACCCCCAATCTTACATGGTAGAAATCTCATTCATAGGAATAGCTATTCTACTGCTAAGCGATCTTTTTTACTCTATCACCTGCTGGAAAATAAAGCTTTCATGACATTGTTTGCCTTTGATTCCGAAGACAGAAATGATTTATTGACTAAGTGAACATTTCCCAACAGTGATAAAATGTGAGTCAAACATGCAATTTAAAAATTTTCAAGTTATTACATAAAAATTAAAAAGTGATATTTTAATGCATTTTATTTAACTTAGCATATTAAAAATATTTCAACATGCAATAAATATAAAATTATTTCTGAGATCAAAAAATCTCATGCAGTTACAACAAATTTCACAGCACTTTTCTGCTCAATTTTCTATCCCTTGAAAAATCAGTCAAAAGCAGTTTTTGTGAGAGCAGGCACTTAACTTTTTTGCCTTACTAGTTGAGTAAAGCCTTTCTCATCAAACCTACAAACACCCACTAAAATTATTTTCCATCAGCTGGCTAAAATGATGCCTTCATAAACTGTAATGGATCTAAGAAAAAAGTCCTAAACAACACTTTTAGAAACATGGGAACAGAAACAAAACAAAACAAAACAAAAAGTCAATCTAGAAGTTAGTGGCAATGACACCACTGTCCTACAAGACTCGAGGACCCAAGGCCCACTGTTCTGCAGAGAATGGAAGAAAACACTGAGGGAGATTAACTGCAGTCCTCATTCTCTTGTTCTACCCTTTTTATTGAAAAACAGTAAAGAAATTTTTGGAAAGGAGAAATTTCATGTTTGATAACTACTGTCAATTTTTCCCATGTGCATATATACTTTACATAGTTAGAAAGTAATTCCTATATTAATGACTGCATAATATTCTACTATTAAGTGATGAACTATAATTTTCTTAATCCCGTAGTTGGATATTTAGGATATAGAAAAAAACAATTTTTACTACAAAGTAAAAGATGTACTTAATTTGCTTTTTGTCTTCTGCTAAATTACTTGGGAGTTATTAATTGGAAAATAACAGACTCCCCAAAGTTCACAGAAGGTTAGTGATTCTACTCTTAGGGTAAAATCTAATGACCACACTAACGAGAGTGAGCAAATAAAGTTTCTCTATATGGCTTACCCTGAATTTAATTAATTTAAGGTCTGCTTTTACAGTTTTAGCAATTAATTATTAGGCCAAAATTTTATGAAGGTATAAATAACAAGCTAATGTGTATCAGAAATTTTCAGGGAACCCTAAGCCAAGTGGAAGTCCCCACTTGCTGAAGGTGGCCAGCCCAAACTCAATACAGCTATGGGGTCTCCCTGATCTGTATCATCTTGTTATTGTAGCTGAAAAAGTAGACAAGGTGATGATGCATGTTTATTACAATTTGCATTGCATAAGAAGACAGAAACCTCTCACTCATAATGTAAGGAGAAATCCAGTAGATTTAGGCGATAAAAACAAAGCCCTCAATAGTAGCACGTCATCATTCTGCATTATTGATCTGTCTCCTACAGAACCTCAACCTTTAATTTCCACATTTCACTGGCTAAATGAGTTGTAGCTAACCCTGAAACAACAGTGACAGGGGCAATCCTGACCCCATGATCTCTTCCTGTCCTTCCTGCTGTGGCTAACTTACCTTGGGGTCTTACACAGTCCAGTGCATCATCAGTTTCTCTCTGGCCATGAAATATTGCACACATATCTCCCCACTGTGGAGGCACCAATAAGATGAGACGAAGTCTCAAAGAAAAGTGCTACCTGACTAGGTAGTGACAATACTTATACCCATCTACAGTTTCAGTGGAAATCCCCTTCTTAAAAAGGGCATTCAAAGCTTCTGCAATAATTTCTACCACGCCTTCTGCCTCTGTTCGTCTTCTGCCTCAAGTCTTAAGGATTTGCAACCTTTACCTGAGTGAACAAACTAAAATTACTTCATATTCTTCACATCCTGTTTTCTCAACTTGAGATCCAGATATCGGGCCAGGGATAAAAAACAAAACAAAACAAAACAACCCACCAGACATAACCACATGTCAAGGGGATTGTAATAATGTATCTGAGCGATGGGAGAAGACCTTGTTACTGTGTAACAAAACCACATCTCCTTTCTATGGGGCAAGAATATGGAGATAAGTTAAGTTCTTTGAGAAGAAATAAAACTTCCTTTAATTCTTGTTCAGTGTAAGGAATGGAAAATTGGTGAATTCACAATTTAAGGATTTTACGAGAAGAAATAGGTCCTTTAGTAACTTTAAAAAATCGTGTCACAGAGGACATGTGTATATATGTGGTTCGTTCATTAACAGACATTAATTCTCCATAAATGCCAGACTCTATGCATTCCCTCAGTAACCGAACGGTATTCACTCGCTTACACAGAAATTGTTAAAGTGGCCTGAACACAGCTACACTGTAGGCACAGACCACAGCCACGTGTCTGGGTGAAAAGGAACCCTGCTGAGAAAGGCCAGGGCGGTACCTGTCGATACACTGCGCTGCCAGGCAGGCGGTCGTCAGGATCTCTTTGACGTGGGTCAGCCAGTTGGAGGCCTCCAGCTTACTGAGCCAGCGGTCCATGTTATGCGTTTGGTCGTTACAGGCTTCCACGAGTTTGATTAAGCTCTCCTGAAGAACGTGGTATCTTTTAAAAACAAGAAGGGAAAGCAAAAGAGAAAAAAAGAAAACATGAAATAGAAGATACCTACAGGCACTGGTAGTTCAACACAGTGTATCACTACTCAGGAAACCGGAGACTAATCACTGAAAAATGAACAAAGGCTGCAGCAAAGATGCCTCAAGTGACTGTCACAGCCAGGTGTCCACCTGCATAGCTGAGATGCAGCTCACACACAGCCCGCAGCCCGCCGGGCCCAGGCAGAGCGGCACTCACCGCTCAAGCCCACCTCGTCCTCCGCAGGGCTCCCCACAACCCCAGCCTTCCTTCCGGGGCATCTGTTTAAAGTGAAACCCGCGATGATTTAGGTGAAACAAACAGGATGAGAAAATGGCTGGGTACAGGGAGAAATTCAACCTTGGAGCTTTTCTGTTTAGGAAGATTATATGCAGCAAATCTGCTCCATCTGTTTGTCAGCCCCTGATCTGCAGTTGGAGGAGCAGACGTGGTGGTGATGGATCTCAGAGTCAAAGCGGAGAAAGACTGCTATTTATTTACTAAAACCTGTCCCGGGTGTCCAAGAGAAGTTTTGTTTTTATTTTGGGTTTTTTTTCTTTTTTTCTTACCTTATAAGATACCATGAGAGTTAGTCTTTTAAAAAGATAATCAAAATTGAGAAACATATAGCTAGACTGAATTTTTAAAAAGACAGAAGACTCAAATGAGAAGTGAAAAAAGAAACATTACAACTGATAACACAGAAATACAAAGGATGTAAGAGACTTCTATGAAAAATTATACAACAACAAATTGGGTAACCTAGGAAGAAATGGATGAATTCCTAGAAGCCCAGAATCTACCAAGAATGAATCATGAAGAGATAGAAAATCTGAACATACCAATAATGAGTAGATTGAATCAGTAATTTAAAGAAAAACTCCTCTCAAAGAGAAGATGGTACGTTCATGACTGCAATCTACCAAACATTTAAAGAATTAATACCAACTCTTCTCAAAGTCTTCCCAAAAACTGAAGAGGAGGGAATGCTTCCAAATTCATTTACTAGACCAGCACTGCCCTGATACCAAAGGCAGACGCTCACATTATCACAAGCCAATGTAAACGATGCACACAGATGCAACAGTCATCAACAAAGCACCAGCAAACCAAATCCAACTGAACAGTAAAAGGATTATGACCATGATCACGTGGGATTTATCCTTCCTATGCAAGGATGATTCAACATACAGAAAAATGTCATAAACCATATGATAGAATGAAAGCAAAAAAGTGGTCATCTCAATAGATATAGAAAATGAGTTGACAAAATTCAGCATCCTCTCACGAACACACATCAACCCAGTAAAGACAAATCCACAGTCAATGTCACACTCAACAGCAAAGAGGTGAAAGCTTTTCCTGCTCTCACTACTTCTACTCAGTAATGTACCGAAGTCCTAGCCAGAGCAACTGGGTAACAGAAAGAAAGAAAAAACATACAAGTAATGAAGGAGAAGTTAAATGGCCTGTTTGCAAATGACATGATCTTATATATAGAAAACTAAACACTACACACACACACACACACACACACACACACACACACCACACCCCTGCTAGAAATAACAAATGAATTCAGAAAAGTTGCAAAATACAAATCTACATATAAAAATCATGAGCATCCCTATATAATAACAATGAACTACCCGAAAAAGAAATCGCAAAAATCCCACTTACAATAGTAATGCAAGGAATAAATAAAATACTTGGGAGTAATGTAACCAAGATAGTGAAAGACTTACACACTGAAACTATAAACCACTAAAAAAAATTGAAGGACACAAATAAATTGAAAGGCATCTTGTGTTCATGGGTTGAAAACATATTATTAAAATACCCATACTATCCAAAGCAATCTACAAATTCAGCAAACTCTCAAACAAAATTCCAATGAGTCTTCAAAGAAATAGAATAAAATCCTAAAATGTGTATGGGACTACACACACACAAAAAAATAACCAAAGCAATCTTGAGTAAAAGTAATAAAGCTGAGAGTACCACACTAGCTGATTTTAAAATATACTACAAAGCTACAGTGATCGAAATCACATGGTAATGGCATTAAAACAGACATATCAACCATAGGAATAAAACAGAGATCCCAGAAATAAATCCACACCCTTACAGTCCAGTGATCTTTGAAACAGGTGACAAGAACACACATTGAGAAAAGGACAGGTCTTTTAAAATAAATAATGGTAACAAAGAAGCTAAATCACAACCTTACATAATATACAAAACCAACCCAAAATAGGTTAGAGACTTGAAGGTAAGACATGAAACTGTAATACCATTAGAAGAAAACATATGGGGAAAACTGCCTGACATTATTCTGGACAAAGATTGTTTGGATATGTCAAAAGCAAGCACAAGCAACAAAAGCAAAAAAATAGGCTTCTGAAGAGCAAAGGAAACGATCAAGAGGGTAAAGAAAACACTTGCAGAAAGGGAGAAAATAGAATACATTAAATAAGGAATAAACATCCAAACTATATAAAGGACTCAAAACAACTCAATAGTAAGAAAACAACATAAAAAAGGGGGCAGAGTACCTGAAATTGACATTTCTCAAAAGAAGACAAACATGGTTAATCGGTACATCAAAAGATACTCAGCATAGTTAATTATCTGGGAAATGTAAATTAAAGCCACAACAAGATATCACCTTCTGCCTAATTAGAACAGCTATTATCAAAAAGATAAGTGTTGGTCTAGAGGAGATTTAGCTCAGTAGTTCGGCCTCCTGACTCAAAAGCACAAGGTCCCAAGTTCAATCCCCGGTACCAAAAAAAAAAGGTGTTGGTAAAGGATGTGGAGAACAGGGACTCCTTACTGTCTGCAGGAGTACCAACTAGTACAACCACTAGGGAAAACTGTTTGACAGTTCCCAATACACCAAAAAATAGAATTTCCATGCGAGCAAGCAATCCCACTTCTGGGTATACCCAAGGGGGAAGGAAAGAGGATCTCAAACAGGCATCGTACTCCCAAGGTCACCGTGGTATTATTTGCAAGAGCGAACATATGCAGTCAATCTAAGCATCCATCAACAGATGAACGGGGAAAGAAAATGGAGTACATATCTGCACTGGAATCTTAACGCAGCCTTAACAGAGAAGGAAAGTGTGCCATTTGCAACTACACAGACAGGCCTGGAAGATGTTGGAGTTAGTGAAGTAAGCCAGAAGCAGAAAGGTAAATACTGCACAGTCACACTTTTATGTGGGATCTACAAAGACAAACTCAGAGAAGCAGAAAGTAGAATGGTGGTTACCAGGGAAGGGGGCAGGCATGGAGGCGGGCAAGTGTTGGTCGAAGGGTACAAAGCTGCAGTCCCTCAGGAGTGCGTTCTGGAGCTGGGTCTACAGCATGGTGACTACAGCTAGAAATAATGTACCATGTACCTGAAAACTGCTAAGGCCTGGCATGGGCGGGCACGCCTGTAATTTCAGCACTTGGGAAGTTAAGGCAGGAGGGCCACCGTGAGTTGGAGGCCAGCCTGGGGTATATAGTAAGTCCAGGGCCAGCATGAACTACCTAGTAAGACCGTCTCAAAAAAAGAAAGAAAGAAAGTAGATCTTAGATGTTCTCACTCCAAAAAATAAGTATGTGAGATGGTGCACTTTTATGAGATTGTTTTATTCATTGCACAATGTAGAGGCTGTCAAAACTGCACATTAATTGCCATAATATATGCAATTGTTGTCAATTAAGCCTAAATAGAGCTGACCCCCCCAAAAAACAATGAGAGTTAGCCAGCCAATTACTGACCCCAAACGAATATGCAGGTCTCACTTGTGATGTCTGTACCCTAAGGACACGTTCACTGCTATTGGTTTCCAGGGGAGTCAGGTCATCTCTCGTCTCACCTCTCGATGGATTTGTGAATCCTCCGCCACTGGGGGTAATGAGCTTCCTGCTCAAAGCCGCCTCCTTTGGCTCTAGCTTGCTGGGCCACGTTTAGAGACCTGGTATCAATGATGTAGCCACGCTTGCCTGCCCTGAGGGTAGCATTTATCAACTTCTCGTCTTCCTTGCACCTTCTCCCATTTGTACCAGTGAGTGGCTGGCCGCTCCGCATAATTACCTAGAAGCACAATATTCAGACAGTTTAATAACAGTGGCTGTTTAAAGTTCTGAAAACAGGGCCAGAGATTTAGCTCAGTGGTTCTGCTGCCTGCTTCGTAAGCACGAAGACCCAAGTTCAATCCCCGGTACCTGCCCACTCCCCCACAAAAGTTCTGAAAACAGAAAGGGGAATAGAAAATCTTGAAAACAATTTGGAATAGATCTTTACAGGAAGAAATCTTTAAACACAGTAACAACAGTTAATTTTCACTTTTCCACAATTTTTCATCTTGCTATCTCAAGTACCAAGAAAATTATATTCCGTCTTTAAGAAGAAATATAATTCAGCTAGGCCACGAATGGAAACAACTGGTAGGCCTGGCCCTGTAATGAAGATAGTGATGCCTTGATTTTGTGGGAGAGTAAACTATCCCACTCCAAATAAACTGCAGACCTCTGTGTACATAGAAATGGCTCTGAAAAGTCATCTGTTGGCCAAGTGCAATGTCACACACCTGAATCCCAGCTACTTTGGTGGCTGAGGCAGGAGGATGGTAAGTTTAAGGCGAGGCTGGGCAATTTAGGGAGATCCTGTCTCAAAGTAAGTTTTAAAAAGGCCTGGGGATATGGCTCTGTGACAGAGTGCAAGGCCCTAGGTTCAATTCCCAGTATGTGGAGAAACCTGTAAAAAGCTGACCCTTTCTCTGTAAAAAGAAATGTCTGTCCACCATCAGTGAACACAGTGATACAGGCAGGGGCTTTTTAGTGGGTGCCCCTGCCAGCCCCCTTCTGCCTCGAAGCAGGAGGGGCCTGACAGCTGGCACAGAGAGAGGTGGCCACAGGTGGCTGTCACCTGGGAGACTTCCCCTCATACGAGCCAACCCTGCTTGCAGTGTCCACCCTCCAACCTCCCCCAGTCTAGCTGCATCCGTCCCCAGAAGCCTACGCCTTCTCCGTTGTGCTCCACCTAAGGCTCAGCCACCTTGCAGCTCTGGGAGCCTCACATGACTGTGCTCAGGCAGATGACAACATTTCTAAGTTGTTTTCATTTCATTATTTGACAAACATCAACAAACCTTCAGGAAAAACAGTAAGTGTAAGACTTCCCTCCAATCTCAACTGCATATACATAGGGTTGGTTGTTTTTTACAAGGATTATAAAGATAAAAGGCTCCAAGCACAAAATCAGAAGGTCAGATGGGGAATAATTTTCAGTTTCTGGAAACCTGTTTGTCTGGTACTTATTCTTCAGTGACTGACCCTCTACCATCCTTCCCTGTATTCTAGGACTTAACCACTCATCTCCAAGGACCACCAGCTACACATTTTTAAAGGTTTGCTTTCAAAATTTTTCCCAAGAAATCAGTATCTCTCATATTAATCTCTTCCCTGGTGAATGGTTCAGTTATTTCAAAGCAGCAGATCTGTAAAAATGTTTACCCTAAATATCCTTTTTTGCATATCATCAAGGGGAAAGGAAAATAGAAGACAGCTGTAATTAGCCATGAATTCGTTATTAGTCTCAAAACGAGAGGCAGAATTTACTGACTGGGAGAAAATGAGAAGGGAAAGTAACTTAGAAACTATTTAAAAAACTAACACTCCAAAGCCATTGCCTATTCCATCCCAACTTTCATATTTTCTGAAGTAAATGACAGGTACCACTCTCTTCTTTTGAAAACAGAAACACCTGCTCAATGGGCCTTTCCTACAAACAGAAACTTGGTGGGAAGGGTTAAAGCACTTCACCCATAGCCGGGGCAGAGAAATTTCTCATTTTTCTACCTTAACAATGTCGGTGCAGACATCAAATCAACACTGGTTTTCTTTGCACTGCATCCTGAAGGCAAATCTATTTGTGCTTTCCTAAAGTCTAGCAGCTTGCAGAAAGAATCCGGTTGCATCCTCATCGGAGAAAACATCTTCATCCTCATCCCCTGGAGTTTCCAGGAAGGAAATCCTGGCGGGCGACTTGGACAATCAGCTCCGGGAACCGGATGGCAGAGAAGGGACGTTCCTGAAAGATCCCGTGCGAGCCCCTCGGCCCAGGCAGGAGTCCCGCACACTTACCATTCCATTTTTTTTGTAATAATAGCTTAGCACTGGGAAGCGCCCTCCATGCCGAAATGAAGCTACTTTCCGAAGAGCTTCATCATCGATGGATTTGGGCACGATGACAATTGGTGGGTACGAAGGACAGACAGCAAATTCCTTATTGATATAGCTTAGCCTCCATTCACTGGTCTGGAAAATACAAAACACTTCAGAGCTAAGAAAATACCTTAATGTTGCAAAAATAATCTGAAAAAGTTTAAAAGGCCTGAAAGAACACTTTTCACAAATGAGAAGCCATGTCTCAGGGATCTAACTGAAGGAGCCGTACCTTGTCCTTAACACTCCAGAGACAAGAAGGCCAGCTTCCCACACTGCTAGGTACGCTAGAAAGTTCCTAGAAAGCTCTTCCTCACATTGAGCAAAACCCATTGTTCTGCAACTTCCTCTATCAGTTTTTTATTTAACCATGATTCCAGACAACACAGCTTCAGTTCCCGACACCGTATTAAGTATCTGACGGATATTTCCCCTGAAGTCTTCTATTCACCACATAGAATATATCAAGTTTACCGTGGCCAACATCATCTTATTTGTCCCTTTCTGGGGCCGTCCAGTTTGTTCACAGTCTTCTTAAAACAGATCACAGGAAGACTGTGATACGCCAAATAGTGCTTACATACAATGGACTGAAACAGAGCTACCACCTGTATCAAGTAAGGCTGGTAACATCTTCTTTAAATATTAGGTCTTCTTCCTTTATTATCCGCGCGTGTCTCTGACCTCTCTTCTCAACACCACACGTCTTTTGGAGATGTGAGAGACAGGGTTGGCTATAGTTATAATTAGTTTTTCAGTTAGTGCATAGCACAGGGGGCTGACTTGAACAATGACTTGTAGATGAAAAGACAGGCTTACTTTTGCACCTGATTCCAAGATAAACCATGGGCAGGTAATCTGTACAAACATTTTTTTGGCTACCAAGCAGATCGCCCAGACATCTCCTTTCCTGATACCCTGGCTATTATCTTCCCAACTAGGAAATAACCTAGATTCCTCTATGGTAGTTCTTATGCAGTAGCTATAAGAAAATAGCATCATGCATCTGAGAATGTTCACAATGCAATTTTTAAGGCCAAAAAAACCCTAGTGATATAAATATAGGTTGAAATTATGAACTAAATAAAAATGGTTCTTATGTAATATAACATTCCCTTTCCTTTTTCACTTGGCTGCCGTGGCCAGCTTTGCTCCTTGAATTCCTTGGTACCCTGATCCCGACCTCTTGATTATCTCAGTGCCCACATAAAGAAGTATGATGGAAGAAGAAACAAAAAAGAAAAAAAAAACAGGCAAAACCAAGACAGAAAATCTGGTTCTAGTAACTTAATTTTGGCAAGCCAAACTGTGGACAAGCAGAATTTAACACACAGGATGCGCTGGGTGGTTCTCTACGCAGTCTCAGGCACACTGCGGGTACAGCGCACTTTCTAAGGGTGGCTCAGAACCCAATTGCTACATACAAAATTGTTCGTAAGGCGACATTTAAAAATACTCAATAATTAACATGTACTTTCCCAGGACTATCTTTACGCAGATCTTAATGTCTTACAATATAATCTCCAAAGTTTAAAAAGTAGCATTGGGCATATATTAATCTAATAGAAGAAAAAGCATTTTGGCTGCAGAACTGACAGGTGATATATACTTCTTTGGGAAACAGATAAATCAGCTGCAGCTTATGCTCTTCTAAGGGAAGTGATCATTTTCACAAGGACCGTAAGGGGTTGGGTAATTTCTCTACCATGGGTAATAAACAATGCTATGATCCGAGAACCCACAGTTCTTGAATGTTACTCACAGCGGAAGAGTAGAGCTCAAACTCTTGCTCGGGGAGGAAGGAATGCCAGCCATCTTCTATCACCTCGAACATTGGCCGGTAGAAGAAGGGGTACATCAGAGTGATGGAGTCCAGGGTAGACAGTGCCTGGGAGCAGAAAGAGAAACAGCACGCCCCAGTGGAATCGCTCTCACTGACGGGGATGGTAAGGATGGGCAGCCTACTGCTCGTGCCGTGCTCGGTACAATTATAGTCTTAGTGGGGCTCAGTTCCATGCTTGTGGCATCAACAAGGCATCTCACACGTAATGTACTTGTAACAAGTATTCTTGGAGTGTAAAAATAAACCGAACACTGCTCACACCTATTCTAGGACAAAGATGAAGTAACTCCCCTTGACACAATTTAATAAAGCTATAAAAGGAGGTCCTAGAATGTCTGGGGGTCGGTCTGAGTACAAGGAGGTTTTGGTTAGTTACAGCTAATCCACTATTAACAAGTACATTACTCAGAGCCAGTGGCTAATAGTAACTATCGAACAACACGATGCAGCCCAGTGGGCAGGAGCCAGACTGCGGGGCTCAAGTTCTAAACCCAGCTGTGCAGCAGCAACTCAGCCACGTAGCTCTCCATGGCTTATTATGCCCCCTTAGGCATAATAGTGCCCTCCGCACAGGGCTCCGGGGAGCGTTAACAGAGATGCCGCATGCAGCAGGATGGGACTGGAGGTGATTTTAGCTGTCACATGGTGCACATGTGCAGAAACCACATCACCGCTACTGCCTCCTTCCTAGAGTGCTCTGCCGGTTGGCGCTTGCATGTGAAAACTGCACTGGCCATGCAAGAGCTAGAGCAAGAACTCTGCGGTCCACAAGTGGGTATAAAAGTATCAGGAACATGTGAATCCTGGGTGACAAACCAGGAAAACCTGACCGTGTGGAACAGAGAGAAGGAACACCTTGCCCTTGCTCAGCAGATTCATCCTGATGACCAGGGGGCATGGAAAAAGGTATTTATACAGATGGGGAAAAAAAGAGGGTACCTGCCCCATTTAGCATAGTTCAAACTGTAGTAACAATGAACCCTCTCTCCTGGCATGGGGAGAAGGTCCTCTGGCAAGGCTCTGAGGGGTGAGTCTACACACAATACAGCTCAGAAGGAAGTCCCTTCCTGCTGGGTCATGGTGGTCAGGCCCATGGAAGTAGGCTGGACATGTCGTTCAGCAGTTGAACAAAAACACCCATGTGAAGTTATTTTTCTATCTGTCTATAAACCATGAACTCCCTGTATAACGCTCACAAAACAGAAAATACGGAGACATGGCTGTGTAACCCATGAAGTGCGTGCATTATTTTTAGCAGCCAATGGCACCAAACAGAAAGGGAAAAGCCAGCATCTGCGTCGCGCTGGGTCAGAACCACCATTTCAAATGCAGCCAGCAACTACTCCATGGGCTCCAGGCATCGATCTCTACTCGTGACCATATTTCATGTCAGTAGAGCAAGGTCTTTTCCTTATGACACATTAATGGTAAAGAACTGAAAACATTTCAATTTTAAAAGGCAGCTGAAACTACAGACAACAAGTTGCATCAGATTTCGCAGTGTAATCTGGAAAACTGAGCACTTGCTGGTTATTCTTCCAATGGGGTTCTAGTCGTGGCAGCAGAATACACTCGGATATATGAACCCGACTGTGGAGACTGCTCAGAGATGAGCGTGGTAGTGCACATCTGCAAGGCACCTACTCAGGAGGTTGAGGCCAGAGAATCCCAAGTTCAAGGCCAGCCCTGGACAACTTACCAAGACCTTGTCTTAAAATAAAAAAGGCTGGAGACGTAGCTCAGTGCAAGGCCCTGGGTTCAATCCCCAGTACTCCCTGCACACATGTACAATCTCTGCCCACACCCTCCCTCTCTCTCAACAATGCTATAAGAGGGATTTATTTATTTTTTCTAATGATATCAGTATGTATAGGGGGCTAGAAGCCAGGAAAAGGCTAGAGGCCAGGTTCACTGTTCATATTTACTATATTATAAAAACACTCAACAAAGAATTCATTTCCTTGGGTCAAAGCAGAGAGCTCTAAGTTCTGGCTTCCATATAATGGGTCATTTGTGAAGAGCTTTGAGTAATTCACACAGCTACTTAGACAACTGACAAGGTAATAAGTGTCAGATGCCCACAAAGCTAAGCAAACACAAGGAGCAAGCCCGTGACGCCTGTGACTTTTTTTTTACCACTGTGCTCCAGCGCAGGCGGCATCTCCAACACCCACAGCTGACATCTCAGACCACCGTGGGTCCAGGGTGCTCCACAGACTGAGGATGGCAGCGTAAGAAACCAACCTCATTAAGGTACACGCCCGCACACACCTCAAGGGCAGGCCTCCTCCCACACCGTGGGACTTCTTCAATTTAACAATCTAGAAGCCACAGTGCTTTTTCATTCATGTTGGCAAATTTGGCCAAATCAATGCCACACGCTACTTTCAAACAACAGCTTTTGTACCACAAACAGCTCGGCCCATCGTCTCATCTTACGTAAAGGGGAGCAAAGGCAGAGAGAAGAAAGTTACTTGCTATTCACTGAGCACCACAACAGTTGTTCCTACTTCTCTGTTTTTGTTTGAAAACCAAACTAAATCCCAGGTACAGAGTTTCAAAGCTTCCTCCCTGTTTAACTGTTGCAGCGCTCACCGCTGAATCAGGGCCCCAGCGACACAGGCTAATCCAGCTCGCTGCCCTGAGCTACCCCACCCCAGCCCCCATCCTTCAACACTGCCTGGGCCGGCGCCTCTGCACTGAGCTGCACCACCTCTCGCTAGCCGGCTAAGTCCCCGGGCTGGGCTGCAGCTGTGATCTTCCCGCCCGAGTCCCTCGGAGGGCTGGGCTACAGGCTACGCAGCCTCTCTGTCTCTGCCTCCTGTCAACAGCTAAGCCTCGGCTTGGCGTTGCTGTTGTTGACATCAGAGCCAGATGAGTCGGTTGCTTTGAGGCAGAAAATGTAAAAATCCATGTGTCTCTATAATTATCTAAAAAATACTGTAAATACAAGGGTATTTGATATAATATAGTGATAACAGTTTAAAATAAAGCAATTTTTAATTTGACAATTTTTAATACCACAATAGCTGAAAACAGGAAAATACCGTGATCTCATCAAATGAATATTTCAACTATCCAAGTTAAATTTCTGTTACGTGTGATCTGAATTGATGCTCGATGTTGTTTATTTAAACGCAAAGCACATATATCCGGCTTTAAGAAAACTGATTAAAAATAAATACGAAGGACCAGGGATTTAGCTCAGTGGCACCACTCTTGCCTTGAAAGCATAAGGTCCTGAGTTTGATCCCTGGTATTGGGGGAAAAAAGTATGAAATTCAAATTTACTAAAAACAAAGACTATAACCACTGGTGGAAGTGCAATCTGCTCCACAGGATGTGGAAAATCCTTACAGCTGAACAGACACTTAGAAATGGCCAAGGTGATAGATTTTATATCATGTGGTTATTTCTGCCACAAGTCTGACCATAAAATTGTACCAAATAACAGAAGGCCTTCGAATGTTAGCTACTATTTGTAAGTATTAAGACAGTGAATTGTGTGTTATATGCATACTTTTGCTACAAAGTCTTACTGTAAAACTGTACCAAATAAATGGTAGAAGGCACTCAAATGGGAGCTATTACATATAGCAACTGACATAAAGGCAAGTAACAGTGTCCTTAATTTACAAAGAATAGGAAACTAACTGTCAGAGAGGTTAAGTATTTATCCATAGTCACAAGCAAGCAGGTAGTGAAATCAAGAAATCAAAGCACATGATCGTCATAGCTGTGTAACCTTAACCTTGCTTCTAGTCAGATGTGTAGGGCTGCAGCATCACAAAAGATTACACTACTGTAGTATGCTCAAGAAAGACACGTCTGCACCCAACTGCTGATCTGGAAGGGAGAGATAGAAACGCTTGCTGGTGATTTTAGTGTCTGAGAAGCCCCCAAATCCGGCAGGAGAGAGTGACCCAAAGGCAGCTTCCCCAGCGCACCAGGAACTGCCCATGACAACAAGGCCAAAGTGCTCTGACTGTACTTCTTTACTGGATTAAAATCCCACAAAGTATGGTATTTGAACAAACCCATTCGAGAAGAAAAAAAATGTTCACAGCTGTCTTTGACACATAGGAAAACACCAAGATTTATACAGTAAACAAGAAGTATGAAGCAAAACTTTCAAGTTTCTCCTAAGAACTTCTTTACTAAATATTCTAATGGTTTTTATAAGTAAATACTTGTAGATACTCAAGTGAAACTATGTCTTCTATTTGACCAATATGAACTCATGAATTCTTATAAAGTCACTGGAATAAAACTCCATGGAATTTTAAGCAGTTCATAGAATTAGAGTTATTCATATAAAACAAGTAATACTAAAAACTGCTAAAGTTAAAAAATAAAGTCCTATTACACTCATACAACGGGAGTCAGGGTGACACTTTCCCTGTCAGTCTTCAAAATCAGAGTCAGAAGACATGACCAAGTATCTAATGAAGACGCATACAAGCTGGTTCGATCAGAACACAACTTTTCTCTGCCATCATATTTTGCCTCCAGAATAATACAAAGAAAAAAAGCATAAAAAACAAAAGGGTTCTTGCACACCAATAATGAATCCACCAAGAAAGAAATCAGGAAAACAATTCCATTCACAATAGCTTCAAAAAAATTAAATATCTAGGAATCAATCTAACCAAGAAGATACAAGACTTCTACAATGAAAATTACAGAACACTGAAGAAAGAAATCAGACCCTAGAAAATGGAAAGACCTCCTTTGTGCATGGACTGGAAGACCAGGTACCATGAAGGTGGCCATTTTACCAAAATCGATCCACGGATTCAATGTGATTATTATTAAAATACCACATCTGTCACAGAACTAGAAAAAAACCTATTCTAACATTCATATGAAATGAGAAAAAAACCCAGAAGAGCCCATGCAATTCTGAGCAAGAAGAGCAATGCCGGAGACAACACAATGGCAGCTACCAAGTTATACTACAAAGTCGTAGCAACAAAAACAGACATATAGACCGTGTACAGATATTCCTCATTTAACAACCCACTGCTTAATGACTGGACTTACAACCCTAGGTGTGCTGTTTGGATTTATGACCTACACTTTTTTCTTTCATACAGTTCTGTACAATCTGTTTATATAGCCTCAATGTCTTTTTTTGTAAAGTACACCTTGTTTAGACAGTACTGTAATTTTTGCTGATTGCACTAGAGTAGTTTTAGGTTGTGCTATGCATTACAGTACTGCATGTAAGGGTTCTGCAAATTAAAGCAAAGTCATCAAGTTGGCATTTCCTTTGAACATTTCTTTGTTCTGAATATTGTAATATACATCCTAAACACAATTCCTCATTAGGCAGCCAATTAATTTATCAACCTACTTGCAGGAACAAAACTTGTTCGTTAAACCAGGAATGTCTGTATTCCTTTATTCTTGAATACAGCATAAGATACACAATCAAACCCATGTACCCAAGCCAACTGATTTCTGAAAAAGGGGCCAAAAACATATACTGGGGAAAAGACAGCCTTTTAAAAGATGGTACTAGGAAACATGCATAAGATTCAAACTAGATCCCTCTCAGCCTGCACTAAAATAAAATTAAAATGGAGCAAAGATTTAGATATAAAACAAGAAACTTTAAGACTGCTGGAAGATAATCCTAGGGAAACACTCGAAGCCACAGACACAGCCAAATGCTTCTTGGATAGAATGCCAACAGCACAGGAAATATCAAGAATCAATAAATGGGATTACATCAAATTAAAAAGCTTCTTCATAGCAAAGGAAACAATCAACAGAGTGAAGAGTCACACAACAGAATGGGAGAAATACTTTGCCAGCTACTATTAACACAGGATTAAGACCCAGAATATATAAAGAACTAAACAATTTAACATCAAAAAACCAAATAGCCCAATTACTAAGTAGGCAATAAACTGAACATACACATCTCGAAAAAGTAGTACAAATGGTCAATAAGTGTATGAAAAAATATTCAACGTGTTTAGCTATTATAGGGAAATGCAAATTAAAACATTGAGTTTCCATCTCACCCTAGTTAGACCATCATATTCAACGTGTTTAGCTATTATAGGGAAATGCAAATTAAAACATTGAGTTTCCATCTCACCCTAGTTAGACCATCAAGAATACAAAAGACAGGCCGGGGATTTAGCTCAGCGGTTCGGTGGCCTGCCTTGCAAGTGCAAGGACCCGAGTTCAATCCCCGGTACCAAAAAAAAAAAAAAAAAAAAAGACAACAATGCTGGCAAGGGTGCCAGGAATAAAAGGACTCCCTTAATCAGCTGGTAGGAATGTAGGCCAGTACACTCACTAGAGAAATTAGTGTGGACAATCTTCAAAAAACTAAAAACAGGGACAGGGATTTAGATTTAGCTCAGTAGTTTTGCCGCCTGCCTCGCAAGCACAAGGACCCAAGTTCAAGCCCTGGTACAAAAAAAGAAAAAAAATCAAGCTATGTTAAACTCATGTACCAAATTCCCAAAATAAGCCTTACCATTCAGTATTACTTACATGCATTTAAAGACAAAATACCCTTATCACACACACACACACACACACACACACACACACACACACACACAACTTACCTCAATAGAACTGGCTATATTTAAACATTCCTCCATTCCAGGAATATCCAACTGAATAATTCGAAAATCTTTACATTTTATGATGATTGTGCCCAGCGATCCCACAAATCTGTAAGAAATTGCAAATCATACTTAAGAACACATATAGTATCAATTTGAAGTATCCGATTATTTCTTTGAGAAGAAAATGAAGGTGAAATCACTACCTATACAACTTTATTCTTCCCAGGTATGCTAAGGAAGAATCAGGCTGGCATCATTAATTATTTTGTTATGAAATTTTGTTTCACTTTTTCATAGAAGAGTGCTTCTACATATTTTCTTTATTAATATCTACTTGTGTCACATTAAATTAGCAAGAAAAAATGTTAAAGTTATAACATTTAAAATAAATGTATTTATGATTTTCTCAAATACATATGGTTATAGTAATTCACATTAGGCTAATTCACTTAATGAAGATTATTTGGGGTCTTCCCCACAAAGAATAAAACAAATCTGTAATTAATGTGTTACGTGTTTGTAGAGAGACACTTCTGAAGCATAGGAAACAGTTCATTTCAGATTGTACCTACTTCTGAGCATGCAACAATCCATCTAAAATACAAATGTCTCTTTTCAATACTTAAAAACTGTTAGCTTATAATATCTACATTAAACTAAGGAAAACTTCAGAGTAAACGCCATTCTAAGCACACATTTTGTATTACTAAGTTTTGCATAAATTTAATTTTACTGTAGTTGGGATATCTGGTTAGTGGTTGTTATCTACACACGCAATTGCTGATTTTATTATGTTTTTGCCTTGCCACTGATTGTCTCCGGTTCTCTTCCACTAATATTTCTGAGTATTCCCTAAACTAGGAACTCATAGATTGACCCAAATGTTACTGCATTGCTAATTTTATTTGCATTTTGCCCAACTTAGAAACACGACTCCGACAGCTACTCTTCCCTAGTTCAAATTCTTTGTCTCATGTCACCACACGGGTAATTCTGGCAGCAAACATTATCATGAGTCAAATTCTATTAAAGAAAGCACCACAGCCTTGCACAACTGACCTACACAATGGAATACCTTTATTAAAATATACTTTTACAAACATACTCTTGGCACTTCTACTTACAGTCAAGGTTGGGATAACAGGGACTAATTCACTCTCCCACCTCAAACAACCAAAATGAACATATAAAACATAAGGAATGACTGTTTCCAAGCCAAAAATGTCAAAAAAACAAAGAGCAGTGGTCCCTGAGAGACAGAAACAAGGGGAGTCCTGTGAATGCTTCCTTCAGCTGCTCTGAGAGTTTTCAAGCAGGCAGGAAGAGGGAACCCGGGCAGGGCAAACAGCCAGAAAGGAACATGTGGGCTACAGGTCCCCACTGAGAAGGTCCCACAGGAAATACAGAGGAAACTGTGGAGGGGCTGGGGATTTAGCTCAGCGGCACAATGCCTGCCTGGGTAGCTCGAGGTCCTGAGTCTGATCCCTGGTACCAAAAACAGACAAACCAATAAACAACAATTGCAGAGATCTATAGAGAGTGAAACTCAAGTGCTCAGCAAAATACTGATTAGCACACGCCTGAGAATAAATCATCTGAGGCTGGTGCTGTGGTCCAAATGTTCCTGTGTTGTAAACTTAATCTCCAACACATCAGGAGCACAAGCCTGGAACACTAGGGTGGTCAAGAAGTTCCTCTCTCCTGCTTGGTTATCCTGACACTACAGAGCACACAGTACAGGGGCCTTTACCGGCACCTGGAGATGGGATCTCCCAGCTTCCAGAACCGTGAGAAGTAAATGTCTTCTCTCTACAAACTGTCCAGTCTGTGGTATTCTATTCTACAACAACACAAAATAGAGTGCAGCAGCTGGGACAGAAGCAGCTGGGAGGATCAGCGGAAGCAGATCTCACACAGGCTGGGACCTGGTCGCCCATAGACCGAAAACGGCATAATCCTCAGAAGGGTACAGTGGGAATGACACCCCTAGAATGAGCACTGCTTCCGGCCCAGCTTACAAAACCCAAGGGCCAAGACTCAGAAAGGCCAAGTGGCTTCCAAATGATTTCACTGAATCCCAAAATTAAGCTAAAGAATATTTATAACAATACAAAAATATCCAGAACCTGTCAAGGCAAAATACTAGTTATATTACAATCAGACAAAGTAGGTTTCAGAGTGACATATATTACCAGATGTGAAGGTTCTTTCCCAATGATGAAGACATCAATTTACCAAGAGGACATAAACAGTGATGCAATTAATATTGCTTCGAAAAGCATGATGCAAAAAAAAAAAAAAAAGCACCATGCAAACACTGACAGAACTGGGCCAGGGATTTAGCTCAGTGGTTCTGCTTCCTGCCTTTCAAGCACAAGGACCGGAGTTCAATTCACCAGTACAAAACAAAACAAAAAAACCTGACAGAACTAAAAGGAACTGCTCCACAACTATAATCAGAAATTTCAATATCCCTTTCTCAACTACAGACAGAACAAAGAAACCAGAAATACTGAAGACTGAAACAAACTATTGGCCAACTTGGCCTAACCGGTGTCTATGGAACATTCCATCCAATGCAAGATACACATTCTTTTTTATTTTTTACTAAGAGTACATGGAACATCTTTACCAAGACAGACCATGTTTGAGGCCATACAATAAGTCTCAACAAATCTGAAAGGATTCAAGTCATACAAAGTAAAGAATCTCAGCACAATAAAATTAAATCAGGTGCCAACAACAAAGTAACCTCTGGAAAATACCCAAAAATTCAGAAACTAGAATACTTACAAAGAACCTGTAGGTGAAAGAAGAAATCAAATGGGAATTTAGAAACTATTTGAGCTGAGTGAAAATAAAAGTATATCAAAATGTTAGGATGCTACTAAAGCAGAACCCGTGGTAAATTTACAGAATAGAGAAGCTACAGTGGTCTCAGTGTCTACTTTACCAGATAGAGCCATGAGTTAAACCAAAAGTAAAAGAAATTTAAAAAGAGCTCAGCAAAATTAAATTACTTGGAAAAGAGAAAAAGAGAAAAAAGGATTATTTAGAAGATAAAGTGAAAGTGACAAACCTCTAGCCAAACTAATCAAGAAAAGAAAGATCACAATTTACCAGTACTGAGAGTAGCAATCACTACAGATTCTACAGACACTGAAAGCACAAGAAATATTAGAAACAGCATTCACCATTTGTATTATTTATTTATACAAGGTAAATGAAATGGTCAAAGTCTTCAAAAGACACACACTACGAAGGAACTTTCAAGAAGAAATAGCCATACTAGCTCTGTATCTATTAAGCTGAAATTTTCATTAAAATCCTCCCCACAATGAAAACTCTGAGACCAGATGGCTTTACCAGTGAATTCAACACAACACTTAATGGAAAAACACTACAAATGAAAGACAAACTCTTCCAGAAAATTGAAAAGGAAGGAATTACTCTTGCTAATTCATTCCATGATGCTAACCTTACCCTATTAAAAAATAAACAAACAAATACATCAAAAAAGCTACAGAAAAATATCCTGCATGAACTTAAGATGCAAAATTTCTACACAAAATAGCAAATCATATCCAAGAGTATATAAAAAGGATAATGTAGCACAACCTGCTCATTAAAGACAACCAAAAACCAAAACCAAACGAAACAAAACAAAAAAACCTTAGCAAACAAGGAACACAAGGGAAATTTCTCAACTAAATAAGAACATTAATGAAAACAAAAACTCTAAATGTACAGCACATACCTCACCCCACAAAGAATGGCTGCTATCAAGAAATCATACAACAACAAATGTTGGTGCGGTCGTGGGGAGAAAGGAACCCTTCTCCATTGTTGGTGGGAGTGCAGACTGGTGCAACCACTATGGAAGTCAAAATGGAGATACCTCAAAGAATTAGGATTAAAGGTTCCATTTGACCAAGCCATCCCTCTGTTGGGTATCTTTCCAAGAGAATTAAAAGAATCATACCACAGTGATATATGCGCACCAATGTTTAGAGCGGCACAGTTTGTAATAGCTAAAACTTGGAAACAGCCCATTTGCCCATCAGTTGGAAACTGGATAAAGAAGATGTGATTTTTCTATAAAATGGAATACTACTCAGTCATAAAGAATGAGAAAGTAGATTCATTCATAGGCAAATGGGTACATTTTGAGGATACACTCCTAAGTGAAATAAATAAGTCACACATATGCAAATACCGAATAGTTTCTCTGGTGTGAAAAACTAAAATAGTACTCAAGATCCTAATGGGATGATTAGCAATGTGAAATAGGAAGAAAAGGACCAAAGGTGTAGGGACAGTGAGAAGGATAGGGAAAGGGGAATAAGGGAAAAAGAAAAAAATATGAGAAAAAAATGGAATTAAAGTGTTGGGAGGTGGGGAGGGGAGAAGGGGGTGAAGGGAGGGTGGGGACAAGGGGAAAAAATGAGAACCAAGACATGGCATGTAAAGGTACAAGATCCCACTAACTGTAATGTCTACCTAGAATGTACCAATAAATTCAATTTAAAAATTTAAAAAAATGTACAGCACATAAAATGCTGAAAAATTCTAAGATCAAGACAGCACACAGGCGTTCACTCTCACTCTATTCGACATTATGGTGAGCCATCACGGTGAGCCTTGACATAGGCCTAGCCATGATTAAACTTTGAGTCACCTCGCCGGCACGGACTTACTGTCGCCCATAGCAACGGGCGAGTTCAGCTGGTAGCAAGATGTAACCCATAATGATTGTTATTGTTTCCATCTGGAATATGTGGGCGGTACTCTCGCTCCCGTGCAGCTCTCGCTCCCGTGCAGGTGGAGAGTATAAAAGGAAAAGGTTCCATAACAAAAAATAAAGCAAGCAAGGAACTTGAGAAGAAAGGTGCCTCCCGTCTCTCTGTCCTCGTCCTTTCAGGTTCAGGACCTGCTGGCAGGATCCTGACGTCATGGCTCGTGACACGACATTATACTGAAGGTCATCCCAACTGAAAGGAAGAAGTAAACTTTTATCCCCAGTGGCAGGACTGTGTATGCAGAAACCCATGGACTGGAAGCGTGGCTCAGCGCACAGCACTTGTGTAGATTGAGGGAACCCTGGAT